ATTCTTTCTCCTCCCCCAGCCATAACCAGCTACAGCCAGGAGCGGGGTGGGTCAGAGGGGCCGGGTGTTTCCCTACTGTCAGGGAAAGGAGGGCAGGGGGGTCCACAGGGGGACCTGCCCGGCCCAGCGCCCCTCCACCCCCCATGTGCAGGTACGAGCGCCTGGAGGAGCAGCTGAACGACCTCACCGAGCTGCACCAGAACGAAATGACCAACCTGAAGCAGGAGCTGGCCAGCATGGAGGAGAAGGTGGCCTACCAGTCCTACGAGAGGGCACGGGACATCCAGGTAGGGGAGTGTGAGGGCTCAGCTCCCCGCTGCACCCTCCATCCACAGGGCGAGGGAGGGACCCTGACCTGGGGAAGAGGGTGGGCAAGGGGGATCCCTTTTTCTAGCACCCTCCAGATGAGGTTCTCACTGTGATGCTGTCACAGCAAGAAGCAGGTAACTAAGCCATGTGCCCAAAATCCCTGTCTGTGCCCCAGTGAGTCCCCGCTGTGCTAAAGTCCCCGGGTGCTCAAGGCAGGGCAAGGCTCCGGGAGGATGGCTGCAGCGCTGGGCTGTTACAAGCCACGTGTGGGCCAACACAGTCCCCGCTGTCCCAGTTTGGGTCATCTCCCCTGCTGCATTAGGTGCTCCCGGCACGGAGACCTTCCCCGGCACAGGCAGCGTGGGACGGGGCGTGCCTTGCACACCACATGGGCCAAGGGTTTGCAGAGGGAAACCCCTTCCCAGCCGGGGCGGTCACCGTCACAAGGTTGGCAGGCATTGGAGCTGTGCAAGCAAAACTTTGCAGCAGCAAGGTCTCAGAGCACGGGGCAAGTACCAAAAGCCCTCGTGGGGCATCCGCGGAGCCGCTGGCCAGTCCTGATGTGCTGTCCCTCGCAGGAAGCGGTGGAGTCCTGCCTGACACGGGTGACCAAGCTGGAGCTGCAGCAACAGCAGCAGCAGGTGGTGCAGCTGGAAGGGGTGGAGAACGCCAACGCCCGGGCGCTGCTGGGCAAGTTCATCAACGTCATCCTGGCCCTGATGGCCGTGCTGCTCGTCTTTGTCTCCACCATTGCCAACTTCATCACCCCGTTGATGAAGACCCGCATGCGCATCCTCAGCACCGCCCTGCTCGTCCTCTTCCTCTTCTTCCTCTGGAAGCACTGGGACTCCATCACCTACTTTCTGGAGCATGTCCTGCTCCCCAGCTGATCCGCAGCCCGGCTGCTGCGGCCCTGGGGGCTTTCCATTTCCCGCAGAGGAGAGGGCCGGGGGGACGGTGATCCAAAGCCTTCAGGTTGTTTCTTCACACGCTTGGTTCAGTTGCTTTCCCGGCCCTCCATCCTCGCTGCAGCCGGCAGGGATTGCTCGGAGCGTGGCATGTTGGAGCCAGGATCCGTCAGTCCTCTGGGATGTTTGAGGAGGGTGGGATGGGGAATGAGGAGGAGTTTTTGGAAGAAACTGGTCATTCATGGAGCGCTGGGTTTTTCTAGGGTTTTGGGGTTGTTTTTTAAATGTCATTCTGTTCTGAAAGTCCATGGGAAGGAGGTCTTCTGCAGAGCTCTTCTGCCAGTGGGAAGGATTGAGCTGGACCAAACCCAGCTCCAGGAGAACTTTCTGCAGAGAGAGGAGAGGGGTTAGTTGGGGCTGGGTTTTCCCTTTCATCCTCAAAGACCAAGATGGCAAAAAGCTCAGTCCTGGAATGGAGCGAAAGCAAAGCACGTGGCGAAGGAGAAAGCAGGTCCAAGGCAAATGCAGCAGGACACGCGCATCCCACCAGCCTCTCTCAACCCCGCCACAGCCTGGCCAGGACAGAGTAGGGCTGTGACGTTGTCCCTGTGTCCCCACGGGGGCCTGGGCAGACATAGGGGACCCGATGCCGGAGATGGCACCAGCACAAGTGAGATCCCCTCCGCTGGTTTCCCTTCATTTATTTATTTCCCCCCTCCTTCGGCTTTAGTTGATCTGATCTCTTCAGGGACACCTGGACTTTCCAGCATCACGCCTCTGAGTTTTACAGCCTCTGCGCCGTGTTGTTCGTGTGTGTGTGTGCGTGCGGTTTTTAATTTAATTCAAGACTCTGTTTCCATTTGTGAATCAAAGCTGGTAGAGCAGGGGGAGGCGAGCAGCTGCCTTCCCAGCCTCCCCGGCCCTACACAAGAGCACAGCATGCTGTCTCGGATGTTTCTTAAATTATTTCATACATATATTTATGTAATATAACTATACACACACACACATATATATATAAATATATACATAAAAGTATATGCACAAACAGATCCTCCTCTGGTGCAAATGGGTGCCACTCCACCGACTTCGGAGGCCCTGAACCAGTTTGCCTCAGCTGAGAATTTGGCCCTTAACATTTTCTGTGGCACTTCCCAGCCCGATGCGCAGGGATGGTGCAGGGCACGGGGTGCTCGGGGAGGTTGGGGGGGTCCTGCAGAAGGGGCAGAGGCAGTTCCAGCGTGTGGAGGGGAAGGTATGTGGTCCTCTCCCACCACTTCCATGCTCCCGGGCCCAAGCCAAGCCCACCTGTGGCCCCACATCGGGCTTCCAGCATCCCCTCGGCACCGGGGGATCCACCCTCTCACACTGGCACAACTCTCAGTGCATCCCAGCAGCTGGGGCTGGGTGCAGGAGCTCTGCACGGGGCAGTGGGTGCCTGCAGGAGCCCTGTGCTCTGCCAAAGGAACCGGCAACACAAGGGTGGGGGGCTGCAAGGAGGAGGGCTGGGGGGCACTGGGCTGGAGACCCCAGCTTGTGCCCTGGGACCACAGCCAAGAGGTCTGAGCAGGAGCCCTGACCCCAGGGCACTGGATCTGATGCATCAGCAGAGAGAGAAGTGGTGGAAGAGACCGAGGACAGAGAAGAGCCATGGCTTGTGGAGGGTGGCCACAGCAAGAGGTGGCCCCACTGTCCTTGCGGAGACCTGGCAGCAGGGCCAGCAGGTACCAGATGCATCCCAGCCCGTCGGTTTGCACCAAAGTTAAACCACGCACGCTGCGAGCGAGCTCAGCACGGGAGCGCGGCGGGGCAGCCGGGAGATAAGCCTGCACGATTTCTGAAGCGCAGCAGCAGGCTGGGTTTCAGCTGCTTTGACCTGGAAAGATGGCAAATGGATCTGGACTGGTTGCTGAGCAGGCACGGGTGGGGAAAAGCAAGGCAGCGAGGCTTTGAGGGGGCCTAGTGGTACATCTGGCTGGTGATGGACTGGGGGCACGCGGACAGACCCCGCTCCCAGGCATCCCCTGTACTTGCTGGAAAGGGCACCTATGAGGTGACAGGGGTTTAATACCAGAGGCAAGGCAGCTGAGCCCCAGTGCACAGGACACTGCGGGAGCAGGGGCCGTGCCCAGGTGGGATGGGCAGGCGGGGACAGTACAGACCTTTGTGGAGGCTCCCTGAAGCCTGGCCCGTTGCTGCAGGTGACACCCGGGGCACATCCTCTCTGGAGTGAACGGTCATATCTCCGTGAACTTCATTTGAGCACCGTGGGCTTGCCCGGAACCGCACTGATTTTCGGGCACAGGGCTGGGGAACCTGCCGCATCTTCAGGTTCAGCGGAGCTCCCTGCCCTGCCGCATCCTGACAAGGTGCGTGCTGCGCGGGCTGCATCAGCACCAGGTCAGCTTTTACGCCATTAAATATCTGTAAGAACGAAAACAGCGAGTAATTAATTTTCAAAGCCTGAGCTCCCTAAACCCAGCTCCCTTCGCTGCTTGGCCCTGCCCGAGCCCAGACGCTGAGAGCCCGGGGG